GCCCGTGACGCAGCTCGGCGCTGTCCGGTGTCTGGCCGCACCCTCCCAGATCTGGCAGGTTCTGGGCCACGCCCGCAGGGTGTCCCCGGGACCGCGCTGAAATGGCCTCAGGGTCGTCTCCCTCCTAAAAGCGATTCCCGAACGGCGGAGCCGGCGTGCAGACGCCCGAGGCTCCCAGGTGTCCATTCCGTGCTTGCGCGGGGTGCGGATGCAGCCTTCGCATCGCCCCCTAGGCCTGCGCTCCCTCAGTGTCCGCCCGCGTGGGCCGTGCCCCGTGCGTGTCCCCGACACAGCCAGTGCTGGTGTCGCCTGTGGGCTGCAGCGCCCCCTAGAGGCTCCCCTCCCACTCGGCAGCCCCGGGGTGGCGCGGCCTCATCGGGAGCCCGCAAGGTCGGTTCTGCCCAGGATGCCCAGCGTGCTCCCCTGTACTGATCATTGCAAAGTGCACATTCTCGTTTCTTCAGGTACCTTGAAAAAAACCCTAGTTACCCAGGAGTCGGTTCACATACAAACGCCTGGAGAGATGCTTTTATCCTTTCTCTTGCTTTACCAAGTTGCAGACTAACACAGGTGTTTAAAAAATGATTTGAATGGCCACAGCTGGAGGCCCGGGTGAGCAACTGGCTGGGATGCTGCTCCTGGATCCCACCTGCGGAGCTCCATCTTTCATTCCTGTTACCGCCAGGGTGGTCTGCTCAGCTGTACCTCACTGCACACACCTGAAGCTTACTGAAAAGGCTCAGGTGAAGAGGGAATGTCCTTACAAGTGGGGAAGATGTGTAGGAACAAACACCCAGTGATTCGCACTGAGCTCTGTTGGCCTGAGGACCTGCACTGTGGGTGGACAGACCGGTACAGAGCCCAAGAGGAGGCACCAGCCCCCGTGGCAGCAGATACTGGTGCACCAGGTGTCATATGCACTACCCCCCACCTGCCCAGTTAGGCCTCACATCAGCCTAGGGAGGTGGGCAGGTATCCACTTTGAGGAGTACAGGAGAGCCACGCTGTCCAGGGACTTCTGCACTGCACCCAATAGGTGACAGGCTGGGGCCCACGGACACCATCCCCCCCGCCCAGGGAAGCACTACACCTGAGACTTGGCACCAGGCTGTGGCGAAGCTGTTCCAAGCTACCCTCAGTGACCCCTCACAAGGGCCACTGCAGGGCAGAGCTGGCACAGCAGGTCTGAGTGAGCTCCCAGGAGGCCCATCTGGTCCTTCTCCACGGTCAGAGCTCACCTGTTCTGGCATGGAGGTGCCAGTGGGTGGATGGCCCTCATCCCCCTGCATGACAGTTACACTCAGGATACATTATAAACATTTTAATTCAGAGTTTAGACTTAATCCAAATTTACATTTTAGAAAATCCCATCTTTTCATCCCTAAATTTATCAAAACTTTATATTAAAAATATAAATAACTTTCATACAAAGTTCAAGAGTATAAACATGAACGCACTTGCCTCTAAAAGGCATGTTCAATAGCAGACACTCAGCACTTTTCATTCACACCGTGAGGTCTTGGGCCCTGTGCGAGCCTGCGCTGACCAGGGACCGGTCAGCTCGCTCTCAGATGCTTGGTTCTTACACGAAGAGCAAGTCCTCGGTGGTAGGGGTCCCGCAGCTCCCAATTGCCTTCCACTCACTGCCTGGGCCTAGGCAGCCATGGTTCTCTCTCTTCCAGGGTCTTAACCGAGATAAGTGGGGTTACAACACGATGGCTCTACACCAATAGCCTGTCCCCGTCATCCCTGTCCTTGTCCCCACCAAGCAGGTGCAGACTGTCATCGTCATCAGAAACATCTGCTCCCTCCTCGCTTCCCAGCTGCTCCAAGGGGCGCTTCATGCCCCGCTGCTTGGAAACTGCCAGCGCGTACTGAATGTTATAGCGGTTCCAGTCGCAGCTGTGAAAGTGCACGGGTCACGTTAGTGAAAGCAGGACAAAGGCTTCTGATCCCATCACAGGCATCCCCCTCCACTTGTCTAACCGCAGCAGGTACCCATTGTTTCACTGAGCAATTTGTTTGTTTCCAACCCCAGGCCTAACCTGCTGCTGGCCAACCTCCAGTCCCACTGTGGGGCAGGCCTGGAAATTTAGCTCACCAGCAGCAACGGTCAAGCACCTCCAGCACTGGTACCTTTTCCCCCCAGAGATGACACAGGGAGCAGACCCTGATGTGGGCCAACTGGCGATGGGCCAACCCCCCGCCGCCCTGCCCACCAACAATGTCAGCAAAACGTACAGTTTGGAGACGTCATCCAAGTGCCGCTGGATGCTCTTTTGAAGGAACTGAACGGTTGGCAGCAGCTTCCCTGCACTGGAAAGGAGACTCCCCTTAGTGTTCGGCAGCTATGAAATGCCCCATAGGCCTCCCTTCACACTGTGTATGCGCGTAAAGGTCTCCCTTAGTGGTGTACTTGCATCTAAAGGCCTCACATCACACCACACATGCATGTAGAGACCTCCCTTCTCGCCACGTCTGCATGTAAAGTTTTCCTTTTATCTGCAAAGATCAGCTGTGACCGGAGCCACAGGTGAATGAGCAGGTGAGCACATTGTACCTGGACTTCAGCTTCTGTCCGTGCGCCATAAGCAACTTCTGAGTCCATATGAGGTAGAATTCTAGATGGCGAGACACTTCAAAGGAGGCAGCCAAAAATTCAAGCACTTTCTCCACGTACAGCTCGGGGAGGGAGGAGCTAATGACGTCAACTGTGAGAAAGGAATAAACTCACACTCACTCTGTGAAGAACTCAGATCAGGACTACAGCTTAGGCTCTTTCTATATCTGCACAGAGCCCAAGAGCCAGACCAGCAGGTGTGGGTAAGGGGTCTTGGCAGCTTCCCCCCGCCCCACCCCTGCCTGGCCAGGCCCAGCACTCACTCTCGTCCCAGGGCACTGACTCCAGGGTCTCCTGCAGCAGCTTCCTCTCGTTAAGCCGGACAGCCATAAGGATGGCCCTGGTGAAGTCCCTTTGGCGCAGCGCCGCCCGGATCCGCCCAGGGGTGACACTGGTGTCCAGCTCAAATGGGTCAAAGAGCATCTGGGTGTCCAGGGAATAGATGAGGAGCCCTTCAGTGGTGGTGGCTGCCCAACAGCGCCCTGCAAAATGAAGCGGTCAGTGGCTCCTATACAGTTCTTCGTACTTTTCTCATTTAAGGAACAGGTATCGAACATGTTGCCGTGGTACCCAATGCAACAGCACAGAAAGGAGCACAGGGATGTCTCCCTCTTGCCCCTGCTCCAGCCAACAGGTCCTCTGGAAGGAGTGCCTAGGTCACTGGTGCGAGCTGTCCTTTGAGCACGTGGGAGCAGACACGCACACACGGGCGCTCCCACTCCCCGCCTTGTTCACACTGGCAGGCTTGGCATACTTGCCTGTCAAGGGCAGATACTTCCAACTCTGCAGGCCATGTGGTCTCTGCTGCAATTCTCAACTCTACCGCAGTACCCAGTCAAAATGCACAAACACTGTTCCTCGGCCCTGGTATGCACCCCCGGCTCACACAGCAGCACTATGCCACATGCTGCTCTGCACTTACTGTCCTTGTCACTTACTCCATGTTGGACAGTATCAACTAGTGAAAACAAGCCCACTGCAACCCTGTCCTGCTGTGGTCTGCAGGCTGCACACACTTAATAGCCCCAGGCCCTGGGGGTATTGCCCCTCCCCAACAGCCATCAGAAATGGTCTGCTGGACACTCCTGATGGTGGGGCAGGGTAGGGGAGCAAGGTACTTGATGGTAGACAAGGAGATGACCCCCCAGTATGATCCCAGCTGGCACACATGAAGAGTGCTCAGAGCAGGTGTTTGCCTCCCTGTTCAGGCCCAGCCTGTCTGAGGTCACAGCTTTCACAGCCATCCTCCAAAAAGAGCAAAGACGATTAT